TTTTTCTTAGATTACTTCGATTTACTTCGAACTTCTTCGAACACTGATCGAAGAAAAGTTTGCCAATATTCAATTTCAAATTGCATATTATTTTAAAGGGCAAGTCCATCCCTTTAGAATGGTCTTTATTTGAAGGAAATAGGCCTAATATTTAAAGTATTTTAAATTCGAAAAAAATTATTTAGTTCAAAGTGTATGGACTTTTTGAATTTTTTATTTGTGTTACAAGAGAAGAAAATGAGGCATTTCCTATTAGTGAGGGAGAAAAAAATATTTCCCTCCAGTGTAACATACATAAATTTTCTACGACCCAGCAAGGAAAACTTCAAAATTAATACTTCTCTTAAAATTTCTAAATAAAATTATAAAATAGTTGCTAGTAGAAAAACTATTTTCGAAAAAATTACAAAATTGTTTTCTTTTTTTTCGAAAAAAAATTGTCAAATTTGGTCAAAAATCATACTATTTTTTGAACTTTTTAGCTTTTTTTGAGATAAATCACGAAATTAAATCAAAAATGCAATTGTTTTGGAAAATTTTCTCCAAACCAGTCGAAAAATCAATGCTTTTTTAAAGCACATTTTTGAGCTAATAAACTGAGTTTTTTTGCTAAGAGACCAAATTAGGTCGAAAATGATAATATTTTTGCCGTTTCAATTATTTTTGAACATTCTTAGTAAAAAAGTTTGCTCAAAAAGACCCAAAAATTACCAAATTGTATCGAAAATTATGCTACTTTTGACATTTCTGAAAGTAAAAACAGGTTGTTGAGCTAAAAACTTCTTTTTTTTTGCAAAATTTTGCTAAAATAAGCCACAAAATCACTAAATTAGATTAAAATTACCGTTTTATTTTGATCTGTTTCTCTGGATTTAGTTTGGTGTCCTAAAAATCGATTTTGTTTCGAAAAAATTTATTCACAAAAACAGAAACACAGTTTTTGAGTTAAAAGCTGTTTTTCTTTGAAAGATTCTTCAAACTTCTCCGAACACTGTTCGAAGAAAAGTTTGCCAATATTCAATTTCAAATTTTACATCATTCTAAAGGGCAAGTCCAAATTAGAAAAAAATTAATTAGTTCAAAGTGTGTGGACTTTTTGAAATTTTTTTTAGTGCATTTGATTTGTCTCACAGAGACGAACAAAATGATATAAAATTTGTTAAGTTGTCGCCTTGTGTTATCGCATTTTAAATACCTTTCCTGCCCTGCTGTGTCCCACAGTTGCAGATGAATCCGGTGGTTCCTGCCCTTGGATTGGTACAACTGCAAGGTACTGTCAAAAACCACCCGAAAAAAGGGCAGGCTTACCAGTCTTTTTTCCCTAAAATCGATTCCCACCGTCGAAATAAAGCGAGAATTGAACATTCCATCAGTGTACTGATACAGGAAACTGGTTTTGCCGACACCGGAATCGCCCAATGCCAGGAATTTTATCAAATAATCATAATCCATTTCTAGAAAGATTATTTCAATTTGCACAAAACGTGCAAACCCCGGGGGTTACCTTATTTCAGCACCATTCGGGGTGGAATCGAGTCAACCTGTTGCAAACAAACGACGATAACCACCTGTCAGATTGATTACTGAACGGACGCCACGACGCCTAGCGTCTCGCGCCACTTATCAGTGTTGCCAGAGCAAAAACATGAAATTCACCAGATTCGAGGTGAAGAATTTGACAAATTTTCGCGAAAAAACACAGTTTTCAACTTAAAAATCTGCTTAAACTCGTGAAAAAAAGCAAAAATGACATGCTTTTTGGTCTAATTCTGTGATTTTTCGCCTTGTTTTCAACAAAATTTTGCGAAATAATTGCATTTCTAGCCGAAAAACGTTCAAAAAATACACAAATAATGTAATTTTAGACTTAATTTCTTGATTATTAAGTTTGTTTCAGCGAAATCTAACAAAAAACATAAGATTTTAATGCAAAAACGTGCATTTTCGTCCAAATTTTGTGTTTTCTCGACTTATTTTACGCAAAAACCAGATAAATCAAATGAAAGAAACTAAATAACATCAAAATCAATCTTTTTGTGGTTTTCAAGCGTGTTTGATTTTGCAAAATAAATGAAACTCTGGTTCAAAAACGAATTAAGTCGGGCTAACAATCTAAAAAATTATAAAAATTTTGATTTAATTTTGTAATTTTTTAGGCTGTTTCAATGCAATATTATGTTTTTATCTCTCAAAAAGACAAAAAACGTCGTTTTTTGAGATATTTTGTTGAATTTGAGGCTTGTTTTTGACAAAATTTTAAAAATAATTGTTTCTAGCAGTAAAAGCATTTGAAATCGAAAAAACAAAAATACGTTGTCATTTTCGACTATTTTTAACCAATTTGGTAGTTTTCAATAATTTTTTCGAGAAAATGTGGCAAAATAATCAAGTTGAAGCCTAAGAGTTATGTAAAAATATCATAATATAATCTTTTTCTATATTAATTTAGAGATTTTGGACACACTGTGGCAAACTCTTTTCAGGTTTAAAAATCTGCTTGAACTTTTGAAAAAAGAAAAAATTATATCATTTTAGGCCTAATTCTGTGTTTTTTTTGGCTTGTTTTTATCAAAATTTTGCGGAATAATTGCGTTTCTAGCTGAAAAACGCTCGAAAAATACAATAATAATGTAATTTAGACTTAATTTCTTGATTATTTAGTTTGTTTTAGCAAAATTTAACGAAAAACCTGAAATTTTAGTACCAAAAAAAGTGCATTTTCGGCCAAATATTGTGTTTTCTCGGCTCATTTTTAGCTTTATTTGCTCAAAAACCAGATAAACAAATAAAACAAGCAAAATAACATCAAAATCAATCTTTTTGTGATTTTTAGACGTGTTATTTGGACAAGATTTTGCAAAATAAATGAACCTATGGTTCAATTTCGATTTAATTTTGTAATTTTGTAGCCTGTTTCAATGCAATATTTCGAATTTTTTGTGTATTTATCTCTAAAAAAGACAAAAAACGCCGTTTTTTTGGCAATTTTGTTGAATTTATAATAATAATTGTGTCTAGCTGAAAAAGCATCCGAAAAAAACAAAAATAAGTAATCATTTTCGACTCTGTTTAGTAAGATCTTGTAAAAAACAATGTAATTTTAGACTTAATTTCTTGATTATTTAGTTTGTTTTAGCGAAAAATCTGTGATTTTAGGACAAAAACATGCCTTTTTGGGCCAAATTTTGTGTTTTCTCGGCTTGTTTTTATCTTATTTTGCTCAAAAAACAGTTAAATCGAGTGAGACACACAATAAAATAACATTAAAATCTTTTTTTGTGGTTTTTAGGTGTATTTGGACAAGATTTTGCAAAATAAATGAACCTCTGGTTCAAAAACGAACTAAGTCGGGCGAAAAAGCTTAAAAATGATGAAATGAATTTCGTTTTAATTTTGTAATTTTTTAGTCTGTTTTAAGGCAATATTTCAAACTTTTTGTGTTTTTATCTCTCAAAAAGATAAAAAAAACGCCGTTTTTTTGGGCTATTTTGTTGAATTTGTGGACAGTTTTTGACAAAATTTTACAAAATAATTGTGTTTCTAGCTGAGAAAACATTCAAAAAAAAAAATAAAACAATTTGTCATTTTCGACTCTGTTTAGTAAAAAAACAAATAGAACTATTTTTTACTAAGTTAGTGGTTTTCAATTATTTTTTCGAGAAATTTTGACGAAGTAATCAAGTTAAAGCCTAAGAGTCAGGTAAAAAATTCTATAACAAGTTTGTGATTTTTGACACGTTGTGGCAAACTCTCACGAAAAAACAAAATTTTCAGTTTAAAAATTTATTTGAATTTTCGAAGAAAAAAATTATATCATTTTCGGCTTTAATTCAATGTTTTTTGGCTTGTTTTTATCAAAATTTCGCGAAATTATTTCGCTTCTACTTAAAAAAACGTGCTAAAAAACGCAAATTTAATTAATCTTCGACTTAATTTGTTAATTTTTCAGATCGTTTTAGCTAATCTCGCAAAAAACCTGAGATTGGAGTATAAAAACGTGCTTATTTTTGTTTTATTTTGCTCAAAAACCAGTAAAATCGAGTGAAATAAACAAAATAACATCAAAATCAATTGTGATTTTTAAGCGTATTTGGACAAGATTTTGCAAAAACGAAGTAAGTCGAGCGAAACTAGCTAAAAATAATATCAATTTCCATTTAATTTTTTCCCTGCTTCAATAAAGTTTTAAAATTTTCTTTGTTTTTATCTCAAAAACGTGTTAAACACTTGAAAAGGGCAAAAATAACGCCGTTTTTGGTAGAATTTGTTAAATTTTTGGATTGTTTTTAACGAAATTTTGCGAAATAATTGAGTTTCGAGCTGAAAAAGTATTCGAAAAATGTCAATTTTGATCCTATTCACAAAATCTTGTAAAAAAAAGCAGAACGTTTAACCAATTTGATGTTCTTTTCAATTTTTTTCAAAAAATTTTTGGTTAAAAACGTAAAAAATGCTCGAATAACAGTTTTTCATTTCCAAAAAATCACCAGATCTGGTGAAATTTCACCACACCTGGCAACGCCGCCACTCATCGAAAATGAGTGAATAAAACCAGTGCATTATTGTATATTTTATTACCACTACAGTAAAAATAAAAACACCACACCATAAATAAAACAAAATTGACTAATCCTTCAAAAAAAAAAGAGATATCACAATTTGCTGCAAGATTCAGTCCTTATGAACACATAAAAAGGCATCAAAGCCTCGACTTTTGACACGTACAAATCTTCGTTGGAACGAAACAATTGAGCAAAATAGCCACAAATTCGTCCCACAACTCATCACGAAATCACCTGACACTACTATCACTCGTCATGGGACAATTCTCAGGCTTAACAATCTGATAAGTGATGAGATACTCCGGATATGCCTGTTCCCCTCTATAAACCACATATTCCGGGAAATTCAAACCTCCGGTTGAGGGTCGCCCCGCCACTGAATGATGCCCTGGAGGGGCATGCGCCATCTTCATGGCACTAAACTGAAGAAACATCTTCCCTAATGTCACACGACAAAGCAGAAGATGCCTAAAAACCACCATCAATACATCATCACCCTTTAATAGCCCAGTCAAATTAGACAAATCGGTGGAAAAAAATCCTAGAGTTGGAATTTTTTTTAAACGCTTTCTTTACACTTGGGTAGACATACAGGGTGAATATAAAGTATGGAACCAATCGGTCTTATTTTTAATCATTTGTCTCCGGAAAATAATAATTAATATAAATTAAAGTAATATAAAAAATGTGATCGTAATTTCAGAACGAAATTTTGTTTTGTTTTTGAGTTATGCGATTTTTTTTTGTCGAAATTGCAATTTATGTGAAAAAATTTTTTTGAAAAAATTAAAAATAAAGCAGATAGTTGTAATCCTTAGAGTATGGCTTTTATGAGAAAAATGATTTTATAGTGGGTTGCCATTTAAAAAAATTATTTTTTTTTGTAGAACTCAAAAATAAAAGGAAATTTCGAAAAATTTTATTCTTGTTAAATCATCACATTTTTATAGTACTTTAGCACTCATCAATTAGTTTTTTCAAAAAATAAATAGTTTAAGCAAAAAACGTTTGGTTCCATACTTTTTATTCACCTGGTAGGTAATTATCTAGCTTTATACAGAGTGTTCCGTCTAAACACCACATTAGAAGTATTGGGAGTTCGAATAATCGTATTTATTTGAAAATTGGTACATAGCTATAAACCATTAAGTCCTCCTAAATGAAAATATTTTCAAGATGGCCGCACTTCCGGTTATACCGGAAGTCGGTCTCAATTTTCTTATTTTAAATGGAAAGGTATATTTTTTATTGCGTTTTTGGATTAATCGAGTTATTTTAAGGTAGATTTCATCTGCTTTCCCTATACCTAAATTTAGCCGTTTTTGAAATATTTGGAGTTTTTCAAAAATTTTTGGATCTGCACATTCTACTTTAAAAATCGGTAACTCTGCCATTTAGTAAGATATTGAATTCGTTTTTTTGGCGTTTGAAAGAGAAAGATTAGATCCTTTTTCTGGTGTTTTCAAATTTTGAAAAAAAAAATTAAGGTTACTTTTGTAATAATTCAAATATTCATAACTCAATTTTTTCAAATAAAATACCCCAATTTTTATTTTACTAAATAGAAGAGAATTTAATTGTGCATTGATCTGTATTAACATATACCTAAATTTAATAATTTTCAAATTATGGACTTTTTTTAAGACTACAGAAAATTTATTACTAGCCACACCCGTTTTCACATAGTTTACTATTTTCTCTCTAAACAAACGTCAACAATAAATTACTATTTGAGAAATAGTGCCAAAATATGAAGAATCAAAGTTATGAAAACTTAATTATTATTGATAGGTTCTACCCTGCGATCATTATTTAAAGCTAGCAAATAAGAATATTTTTTTAATGAACGACATAATTTTCTCACACTCTCCATAAATTTAAAATTAATTAATTAAATCTAAGTTTGAGTTGCTTCGACTCTCCATATTTTGGCACTATTTGTCAAATAATAAGTCACTGTCGACGTTTATTTAGAAACAATTTTGACATTTTTGATTTCTATAGCAAACTATATGAAAACGGATATGGCTAGTAATAGATTTTCATCAGTTTAAAAAAAAAAGTCACCATAACTTAAAAATTATTACATTTAGATATAGGGAATGTTAATACAGATCGATGCAGAATTAAATTCTCTTCCATTTAGTAAAATAAAAATTGGGGTATTTCATTTGGAAAATTTAAGTTATGGTTATTTGAATTATTACAAAAGTAATCTTAAAATTTTAGGGTTTGTTAATTTTTTTTCAAAATTTGAAAACACTAAAAGAAAGATCTAAACTTTTTCTTTCAAACGCCAAAAAAACGAATTCAAAATTTAAAAAAATAGCAGAGTTACCGATTTTTAAAGTGTAAGGTGCAGATCCAAAAATTTTTGAAAAACTCCAAATATTTCAAAAACGGCTAAAT